TCTGAGAACAATTCTATCAGCTCATCTCTTAAGTGGGTTCGGTGGACTCTCACAACTAAAGGTTCTGTAAAACAATAATAAATTGAGGATATCAATCTTGTAAAAATCGGGATTCTGTCATAGCATGAAGGCTTTCATGCAAAAGCCCATTGAAATAAGGGTCCTATGCATTCTTCACAATAGGTGCTTTGTATGAGTCGTGTGTCCTTGTCAATTATAAAACCTTAGGTGATTATACAAAATGGTTAACAGAAATGAAAAGAGCATGATGAAATTGTATGGAACAATTTAAGTCCTGGATAGAAAGGCTATTCATGTAACCTATTAACAGTAGATGCACAATAATTGTGCCACTGGAACTTTGCTATCCTGCCTCATTAAATCTACACCTCTATGCAAATGTCAACTTAACTAATCGTGAACCAGGATCAAATGCTCCACCACCCTATTTCAAAGGAAAGATATTTTCGTTGGGAAATTAAATTTAAATGACACGTGTTGGAAACGTGCATTTGTTTTAAATGTAGTCTCCTGTAAACATGTAATTTTCAATAAAACCCTAGTGATACTTTTCCCAGTCAAATCACTACAGCTGCAATCTCTTGTATTTACTTGTTTATGTCGTGGTTCAAATTTTTCCTTGCTTTAAAATTTTTCAACCCACTTGGAGTTTTATTTTCCTTTGTTAAAAGATTATGATGATGAGTGCAAGACAAAGAAATATAAAAACAAAACTTTTTTGACAGTGTTAAAACCATTGACAGATTTCAATGAAAACACATATATCATAATTATATCAATGACTCACATGTAAACAGCTCGAAAATGAAACCTTTTTGCCCCAAGGACTGACTGTCATATGCAGCCATTGCCTTGGATAAGGGAGGGACCTTCGTCAGTACCCTCCATGCTGCACCTGCCCACTTTGTCATGAGGATTCTCCTCTGTCGTGCAGTTATTTCGTCGTGCCACAGTTCTAAATTGTCCTTCTCTTCAAGCCACTTGTCCATCTCCTGTCCAATTTTGGTTTTTAGCATTTTACCAAACCCTGCATCAATGGGTTGTATCTTGTCAGTGTGGTTTTCAGGCAAAAGATATACAATAGTGTTGAGTTCATGTCTGCAAGTATCATGGAACTTCTTATCTTGTTGGAATGTTACATTGTCAGCAAAAATAACTTTCTCTTCTGGTGAGTTGCCAAAGCCTGGAGCAAGTGTTTTGGTTACCCATTGCATATTAATATCACTGTCCATCCAGGCACAGCTTTGAAAGTAAACGTCAACCCCTCATCATATTGAGCTTTCTCTTCTGTACTAACATTTCCTTTTCCCCGAAATACAATACCCGGCTCGACGTTTGTTGACCCTCTGCCCCAATGCAAAGCTGCAAAGTAGCTTGCCTCTTGTCCAGGCCACTTGAGGGTTGTGAAATCCACAATTGCTCACTCCCTTTCATTTCATAGGTTTTATCTTGATCAATAACAAAAGGAAGGGGTACTTGATCGACATTGTACCTGTTTTGGGGTAGCCAACGCCTATATTTACCATCCAGCTTAGCATTATTTCGCCGTCTTGTTGTTTTGAGGGATGTTCTAAGATTTCTGTGGAAACGCTCAATTGTCTCCTTACCGTCACTGGCTGCAGACTTTTTCTTGTTCGATAGTCTCCGGAAAGCAATGTTATGGCGCTTTTTGAACCGCTGAAACCAGTTGTCACTAGCTTTGAATTTCTGAGCTGCCTCTTTTCCGTAACATGCCTCAACCTTTTCCTTCATTTTCTTTTTCAACCACAGTTTTGAAATCTTGCATCCTTTTGCTCTTCGAAGTTTAAACTCCACAACAACACAATCAGCCGCAAGTGGAAACTTCTTGGCTTTTACTTTTCCACACACAAGTTGTCTTCTTTGCCGTGTAGGTCTTGCTGCGCCTTTGTTCTTCTTTGTCTTGTTGAGAGCTAGCTGACTTCGAAGTCTTACCCGGTCCTTGTTCCATTTAACTACTAATGATTTGCTGACCCCTCTTCTTTCTGCAACCTTTTCCCAGAGCTTTTTCGTTTTAAGCTCTTTCATAGTATCTAGAAGATCCCGAGTTTTTATCTTGAAATATATGGTGCAAGATTTCCTCTGATTCACTCCTCGACGATTGTTGGTCTTGATTCCAGATTCACAGTCCTCTATCTCGGTCAAATCGCATGTGGTTTCTAGAGTTTCTTCGTCCACATCCTTCTGATCAGTAGCTTGCTTAGCACTGTTTGAAGTTTTCGATGAAAAGCTGCTTTGGCTGAGTTTTGATTTCGACAGCTGACTTGGATGTTTGAATCGCACGTGAGTAGCAAGATATTTCTCCTCCGCGAACGAATTGTGGCAAATTTCACACTTTACGGGCTTGTCAGGAAACTTGACTGTCTTTGAAAGGCCTGCAGATACATCAAAGAGCTTGCCACTTTTTGTTTCTTATTGTTTCTTGAAACCAAAGTGTAATAAAGTGTGATTCATTTCCTAAGCTGGAGAAAGTCTAGTCGAGAAATCCCACAGCTGTCAGACTCACGTGTGTTGAAGTGCGAAGCGCTGAAGCGTTGTGTTTACATTACTTCTGGACAGGAAATGACGTATTTCTTCAAACTCAATGCAAATGGCCAGCGGTACTACCCAAACTCTTTACACATTCTTGTCGAAAACAACTCACAAATCGTGCAAAATTCAGCTGTTTCATTTACTTTGTTTGCCGCATTATTTGGCAAAAGCTAGAAATTGATAATGTCTGGATTGCATGAGGTGCTTGTGGAGTCAAGTGTTCGAGGTTCTCACGCATACTTTAAATATTCGACTGTACGCGTAGGGGATCTCATGATGTGTGAAATTGAAGAAGACAATCCCCATGACAAATATGCTGTGGTAGTAAAGAATGAATCTGGTCAAACTGTGGGTCATAAACCTATTGAGATTTCGAAGATTATGAACAAGTTTATTCGTGACTGTGGAGCGGTTGAGGTGGAGTGTATTGGACACAGATATAATGTTGGCCAAGGAAAAGGACTCGAGATTCCTGTGGACTATGGGCTGATTGGGAATCAGCAGTATCTACAGAGAGTAGTGAGAAGGCTGAAAAGAAAAGATCTGGATCTCAATATCAGTGACATTAAGAAATGTGACACAGAGTAACTGAATATGCATATCAATGTATCCTTCTTTTTAACCTGGAACTTCTGAATCAAATATTTCAATACACTTTTTTTATTATTGTTGCTATTATAATTTTTACTAGCTTCACTGCATTTACCATACAGTAGTGTGGATCTACACTTGCTTAGTATGCTTTGTAACTACATATTTTGCACTCATTTTTCTCAAAAAAATCATGTTTTACAGTAATGGCAATCTGGTTTTTCTTCAATTATGATTACAGTAAATAATTTCAGTGTACCTGTAATGTACTATATCATTTTAGAAAATAAGAACCTATTTTAATTTTCTTAGGCTAAATAGGTTCTTCTTTATAGGGGGTATAAATGGCAAATTTTAAGCTAACAGGTTCTTAATTTTTGGGTTCTTACTTGCGGGTTTTTACTGCAGTCAACTCGGCGCTTTTCTGAGATCAAATGAAGCTCATATTTTATATTATTGCCCTCTCAGTTAACCTTGGAGGTCATCAACAACCTGTATATTAGTGCTGCTAGTCACCCTGGAGGAACAAAACAGGGAAGGGGCGAGTCATCAGGGAAGTTTGCGTCAAAGCCACTTAAAGATCTGTCTTGCCGTGGATTAATAAGACGGGTTTTTCAACATCTTCAACATGTTAATTGCTCACGTGGCCAAAGCAACTCTCCTTCTCCGGATGCTTTAATACGCCACATTGAAAGATCCCACCACAAAGATAAGGATTCTGTCACTTTTTGTACACGCACCACTTTGGATTGATCAACAAGTTCGCATTGCTCAGTTGTGACAGAGCTAAAAAGAAAATATAGCAAAGGAATATCCTCCAAAAAACTTTCCCCAAACTGCGGGAGAAAGTTTCAATGTCTAACACAAGGCGTTTTCGAGAATGGAGGAGCAATTAAGGTCTACTCCAACGATATGGTGTTTTGTGACGAATGTGACCAGTATGATGTCCAGCAAAGCTAAAATATTACAAAATATAACAAAACAGTACCACATAATTCTAAAGTTTAACTTATTTATTGCATTATTGAGCCAAGGCTAGACAGCATCAAATGTAAGAGGATACATAAATTTTCTGTTATTGCTTGTTTTAATAAATGCAAAAAAATACTTTTAAAATTTTCATGCAGATTATTCCAAACAGAAGGGCAAGAGAAGATTATAATTAGTTCTAACCTGATCACTTTGATGCTAGCCTAGTATTATAGCCTTGCTTAGAAAGAAATGGCTAGCATCTAGGTGTTTTAACAGTGTTTCCAGTAAACATCGTGGAGAATACTTCGGACAACATCCCCAAAATGCAGCGATGAACATGAAATCTGTCTTCTTCCACAACCAACACAACATCGCTGTTCCCATGGCTGGGAAAAGGCCAGTGAAACAGCTGGATTTGACATTCCACGCCGGGCTGGCGAGCGCTCTGAAGCGGAACAATCAGCGTCCACAAATATGGCGTTTGTGACCGTGTGGTTTTTAGAGAAGCCTGGAACTGAGTTAACGCCTGTTGAAAACTGCCTCCGAGCGGTCCTGGAGTTAGTCCGAAGGCGCCAAAACTCGAATGTGCTGAAAGTACACAGTTTTCCCGTCATTTTGATACTAAATATGCCATAGTTTCTTCGATGTTCGCTTAGCAAGAGACAGTAGAGGAAATAGTAAAAGAAAAGGTAAGGTTTATTTGTCGTTTCTATAGTATTTTTGGCTAGGATAGTTTTTTAAGTTTCTCTACTTATCCGAGAATTTGTGCTACGAACCGAAACTTCAAAGCCTTGACAAAAGCTCTATGATTTTTGTTTTCCTAATTTTGCCTTCTTTCCTTAGTTTTTTATGAGTTAATTTCTAGGATGCCGCACACAAAGAACACGCGCTTTAACTTGGCTCAATTCATGAAAGCTCGCAAGGTTGCAAGGGAGAAAGCTGTTGATGAAAATCGCAAGCTATCGGCAGAGTACAAAAAAGTCCAGCGAGCCCAAGAAAAGGTGAGATAAATTTGTCCAGTATTAATGTTTTGGGAAGATTTTTATTTTCAATATCAGAGAATATTGTAACAAAGGATTATAGGAAAGTGGTGGAGGTCCATGTGTAGGGAGGCTTGAATTTCAATTTTGACAGGGTAAAGAAATTCAAAATAATAATAATGATAATAATAATAATAATAATAACAATTATTATTATTATTATTATTGTAGTTTATTATTATTATTATTATTTTTATTATTATTATTATTTTTATTATTATTATTTTAATAAGAATTATTTTTATTATGAACTGGGTAATCATGGTTTGTTTAAACCTCGCTGTACTTCTCTACACAAACACTTGTTAATATCCCCCCCCCGCACAAGCTTTTTATGTGTTTAAACTCTAAATGACACTTAAAATTAACCAATCAGTGCTTATGAAATCACTTGTATAATAATTGCTTTCAGTTGGCCACAGTCAGGGAACACTTCAAAGACATAACAAATGAATTAGAAAATATTCCTGTGAGTATACTCTTGATTCTTTATTGTGGTTGTTTTACCAGTACCAGTAAGTATGCAGCAAAAAACTGCTGGGCGTAACCTCCAACTAAGTCTGTAGGTTTGCATTGATTAGTGGTTGGATGAGGTTTAATTTTATGCCAAATTTTATTAATAATGTGAACAGAAAAATATTCAATTTTGTAAAAATAAAAAAAAATATTTTGCAAGTTCAATTTCGGTGAACTAACCACTTAACACAGAGCCAGTGCCAGAATGACAGCCATGGTCAGGCTTCTATGCCGGTACCTATGCAAGAAACCTGAGCGAGTGCCTGTGTTCATTTGGTTAGTAAAGACTGTCATAAATGACAGTGTCTCTAAATTATTACCACACTCTTAATTCTTTATTATGGTTGTTTTAGCAGTAAGTATGCAGCAAAAACTGCTGGGCACAACCTCCAACTAAGTCTGTAGGTTTGCATTGATTAGTGGATGGATGATGTTTAATTTTATGCCAAATTTTATTAATAATATGAACAGAAAAATATTCAATTTTGTAAAAATAAAAAATATTTTGCAAGTTTAATTTCGGTGAACTGGCCACTTAACACAAAGCCAGTGCCAGAATGACAGCCATGGTCAGGCTTCTATGCCGGTACCTATGCAAGAAACCTGAGCGAGTGCCTGTGTTCATTTGGTCAGTAAAGACTGTCATAAATGGCAGTGTCGCTAAATTGTAAACATCAACATATTGAATGTAAGATTTGGCTAAATATCTATTTTGTTATCATCCAACCACATCTAATTTAAATAATTGTGTTACTACCCATTGTCTAATTTAGCAATATTTTAGTCACAGGAACAGGTATCTCAGGCACGAACAAGAAGCCCTACTGCACTTGTCAATGGAGAATCAACACTGGGACCAAGGACCGCAAGAAAAAGGAGGCATGAAACCATTGAAGCTGCTGCCAAAATTCATGGGAGCTCAAATGAACATTCCTCAGCCTCTTTCGAGGGAATGTTTGACACTCTGCAAAAGAGATGCACGTTAGATAAGTTAACAAAAATGTGACAGAGAACAAGCAGTTGACCAATAGAATAGTTTGTAAAGAGTATAAGAAGAGTGTGTTAGAATTTGAAAAGTCAGATGACAACATTGTTCGAAGTATTGCAACATATTATGCAAGTGGTGTAATGGGGAAACGAAAGTACAAAAGTGTAAGACTGGTGCTTTCAATGAAATCAAATGAAGGCAAACCAGGGAAAAGAACAAGTATTTCAATTTGTAAAGGCTGTAAGGTTCCAAAGCTTCTAACTTATAGTAACCTTGTAGAACAGTTAAAAAAGATTGACATTGGGACTGTTCATGAAATTGACCCAGACTATCTAGAGGGCTTAGAAACTGAAAACCAAGTCAATGGTGCATATAGAGACTTGAGACAATACCTCCCAATGCTTGCCAAATTTTATCTTTCTCAGAACAGAAAAGAAAGTCTGAAAGGCTTTGCAGAATCAACAGGCACTTTTCAAATTGCTCTTGGTGGCGACAGATGCCCATTTGGCAAAAATGAGAGCGCGTGTTCTTTCTTAGTCAGTTTCCTCAATGTTGGAAGAAGGGTGGCATCAAGTTATGATAACTTTCTAATTTTTGGTGCCAACTGTGATGAAAGCTCTCCTGTTACAAAGAAATATGTGAGGTCATTATTACCTCAAATTGCAGAGTTAGAAAGAGCTGAATATGAATTTGAAGGCATGAAATATAGGTTTAAGCTGGAGGAATTGCCAAATGACATGAAGATGCTTGCCATGTTGGCAGGTGAATTACTATTAGTGCTAAGTATTTCTCACCCTTTGCTAATGTTTCATTAGCTGATTGTAGGGATGTCAAGGGTACATTTGGAACTGAAAGTTCAAACAAGTGGAAGCCATGGAGTTACAAGCAAAGAGTAAATGTTGTCAACAAGGTTGAACCATTTAAGAAAAGAGTAGCACTAGAAAAAATTTCTCAAAAGACAAAGAGATCTAAAATTACTGATTACATTGCCAAGCAAAGTAGTAGACAGGAATTTTTGCCTCTCTTAGGTTCTTACATTGACAAAGCTCATGTGGAACCCCTTCATCTAAAGAACAATGCTTGGCAGTACTTCTTTAAAGCAGTTTTGACAGAAGCTAAAAGAAAATCTAAGCTGCCAGCTGATTGTAAAAAGTTTTCAGAGGTTCCAGCTGATAGCCCTTTTGCACGAGTAATTACAGCTTTACAAACAGAAGTAAAAGCCAGGCGCCTTGCAAACAAGACCAAACAATGGTTAATGAAACTCAAGGGTCTGGAGCTGATTTGCATTATAGATTTACCGGAAAAGATTCCCGCTGTTTTTGTCATAACTTCATGAGACTAATCAAGTGGCTAAGGTGTGAAAAAGACTCCAGGAAAGAACGTCAAACAGTTCTTGCTTTAGCTTATTTAGGTGTGAGGCTAAGGGACTGTGTTTCTCTCTTTAGTAGATTTGAGATAACATCAGACCACATTGATCAGCTTTCTATTGCCTGTCATGAGTATTTTAAAGTAAATTCATTGTTGTTGCCAAGTTCTGTAAATCCTACTGTCTGGACATTGGGTCACATTGTCCCGGCTCATTGTCGTCAAGTGCTTGAAAAGTATGGCCAGGGGTTGGGGTTAGTAACCATGGAAGGACGAGAAGCGAAGCATATTTTTCTTAAAAAATTAGGTGAAAATACAACATATCAAAACAGATGGGTTGAAATATTTAGACATGAATATGTGATGCTGATTTGGCTACCTCAGCAAGGTTTTCAGCAGCCAGAAGCTGCATGCAAAAATGTAGCCTACATCCCAGAGAGGGTATTCAATGATCCATCTTATTGCTATTGTGGTCTGTTAAAGGCATGTCCTGAGGATGCTAAGTGCTGTGTCTGTGGACACCCAATCATGAAATTTATTGAGCAAAGTGTAAAGGACGGAAGGATTGCTCCACAGCTTTTGTAATTAATGTTAAATCTGTACACAGTTGGACTCAAAAACACTGCTGACTTGAGATTATATATTATATTACATTACATAGTTTATATCATACCATACAATATAATATATTATATCATATCATATTATATTAAATTATATTACATTAGCAGCAGTAAGGAACTTTAAGATAGTGTTAGAATATAAAATCCAGTTTGATCACCCTCCTGTTGTGTGGTTTTGTTTACAATTGGTCCTAACATAAGGAATAAAACATGTTGGGACTCAATATCAAACCGCTCGGCATTCAAACATTGTTGCTAATACCGATAAAGTATGTCTATGGCATTTTGAAAGGATTCATTGGCAACTGCGAAGAGTGGAGGACAATTAACAACAACAACAATTTATTGGCATATACTGTAGATGTCATTACCTACAAATTATATAAGAATTAACTGCAATGGGCCATTCCATTTTATATCAGCACCCCCCCCCCCCCTATTGAGGGTCAAGGAAATCCTAGGGGGAGGGAGGGGGCCTTTAGCAGTAATTTCTGAAGGAGTAGCCATGTTGGTAACTTTGATCTTTTTGTTTTTTCTGAAGGGGGGTATGTGTCAGCACTTTGATCTTTAAAATCAGAGGGGGTCCTCAACTGTTATTTCCGAGGGAGTAGAGACCAAAACCCCTCAATAGGGAGGGTGGGGGGGGGGTGCAGATATTAAAAGGAATGACCCAATAACTAAACTATATATATATAAAAGGCGAGGCAAGTAACTACAAATCGGCTGAGTGCATAATGTTAGGACACCTTATAATTACAAACAGCCTGACATATACTCCACTCAGTCTATTCCGCATTACTTATATGCTTACGAAAACGTGTAGCCAAATTCATTAGTGAATTTGTAGAGGGCTTTCACCACCACTTGCTGTGCCCTCTTAATAAATGTGATGGTGAAAGGCGTTTCAGAAGTTATGGAAACTTTTGAAGTTCCTTCTCTTGTTCCTTTACTCTGCTTAATAAGGAATTCTCGGACTGAGTCTCTGCTTAGCTCAGATAACTGGGCAAAATCTCGAATCAGTCTGTTCTCTCTGTTATAGTAGATTATATCTGTGTGTTTTTCTTCGTTGTGCACAACACCATAAGCGGAATGGGCCTTTTTAACCATCTGTAAAATTAAGGAAAATATTTCCGAGGACATCGCCCTTTTAAACTCTACAGTCCAAGCGCTTCGGGCCTTCATTCTTGGACTGAGGCGCCTATGGAGCATCTTAAGCCACATCTTCACTCCTCCTTCCAGGAGTGCTGTCGCTGGAATTTGTGACATTTTAGCTCGTTTCAAAGAGCTTTGGCCCACACGGTTTTTTTCAAAAATTGAAGTGAGAGCTGTTTTTACTTCTTCTTCAAACAAAAAGAAATTATCGACTTCATCACGTAAAGGACGAAGAGCCACAATAGCATTCAAAATGCTATTTTCAGCCGCCATTTTGAAAACTGCTTTGTACTTTTATTCGCATTTCCGCTGTACAATCTCAAACAACAGCGGGCGACAAAGTTCCACTTCACGGCACGCGCCAGCCCGGCGTGTTCTGTAATCACTACCATGCTGTGAAGGTAACAGAGTGTGCCACAATTTTTTCCAGTGACGATAAGACAATCTTCTGTTGATTTCAGGCAGTTTCTTGGTGCTTGGGCAAAATAGCACTCTTCACAGCCAGATCAAACAGCTTTTATTCCCTCTAAGACAAATGACTAGCATCTTTTATTGTCGCTGACTAAAGGATGCGATAAAACAATTCATTTCATTTTATTAAGGAAGTTACTGAACCATCTAAACAGGTAAAGAGGACTGTAATGCACTGTCTGCACTATAATGCACTGACTACTCGTTCTTGTTTTCTTTGAGTCAAATAGTCAACTCGGCGCTTTTCTGAGATCAAATGAGGCTCATATTTTATATTATTTCCATCTCAGTTAACCTTGGAGGTCACCAACAAACTGTATATTAGTGCTGTTAGTCACCCTGGAGGGACAAAACAGGGAAGGGGCGTGTCATCAGAGAAGTTTTCGTCAAACCCACTTGAAGATCTGTCTTGGCATGGATTAATAGGACGGTTTTTTCAACATCTTCAACATGTTAATTAGTCACGTGGCCAAAGGGACTTTCCTTCTCCGGATGCTTTAATACGCCACATTAAAAGGTTCCACCCTAAAGATAAGGATTCTGTTACTTTTTGTGCGCGCACCACTTTGGCTCGATCTACAAGTTCGCATTGCTCAGTTGTGACAGAGTTAAAAAGAAAATATGGGGAAGAAAGATCCTCCAAAGAATTTTGCCCAAACTGCGGGAGAAAGTTTCAATGTTTAACACAGGGCGTTTTCGAAAATGGAGGGGGAATTATGGTCTACTCCAGCGAAATGGTGTTTTTTGACATATGTGACAAGTATGATGTCGACAAAGCTAAAATATAACCAAATATAACAAAACCGTACCATATAATTATAAAGTCTAACTTAATTATTGCATTATTGAGTCAATTAATAAAATAAAACAGGTATTTCATCTTCAACATGTTAATTGCCCATGAGGAAAAAGAATATAGCTACAATATTTGAAGCCATATGTCAGCACAAGACCTATTGCCTCCCACTGAGACTTTTGAAGAGCATGACGTATGCAGGGCACTTTTTCTACATCACCTAACGTGTAAGAACAGAACACTGTTTGCCAACTTGTTGAGAAAATGTCTCTTTCAACACCGGCTATTACACCTTCCTCTTCCCTACTATGGTCATCAATTAGTCTCCACTCAATAGTCTTCTGTAATATCTCTGGATCTGAGAACAATTCTATCAGCTCATCTCTTAAGTGGGTTCGGTGGACTCTCACAACTAAAGGTTCTGTAAAACAATAATAAATTGAGGATATCAATCTTGTAAAAATCGGGATTCTGTCATAACATGAAGGCTTTCATACAAAAGCCCATTGAAATAAGGGTCCTTTGCATTCTTTACACTAGAGGCATTGTATGAGTCATGTGTCCTTGTCAATCATAAAACCTTAGGTGATTATACAAAATGGTTAACAGAAATGAAAAGAGCATGATGAAATTGTATGGAACAATTTAAGTCCTGGATAGAAAGGCTATTCATGTAACCTATTAACAGTAAATGCACAATAATTGCGCCACTGGAACTTTGCTATCTTGCCTCATTCAATTTACACCTCTATGCAAATGTCAACTTAACTAATCGTGAACCAGGATCAAATGCTCCACCACCCTATTTCAAAGGAAAGATATTTTCGTTGGGAAATTAAATTTAAATGACAGGTGTTGGAAACGTGCATTTGTTTTAAATGTAGTCTCCTGTCAACATGTAATTTTCAAGAAAACCATAGTGATACTTTTCCCAGTCAAATCACTACAGCTGCAATCTCTTGTATTTACTTGTTTATGTCGTGGTTCAAATTTTCCTTGCTTTAAAATTTTTCAACCCACTTGGAGTTTTATTTTCCTTTGTTAAAAGATTATGATGATGAGTGCAAGACAAAGAAATATAAAAAACAAAACTGGTTTGACAGTGTTAAAACCATTGACAGATTTCAACGAAAACACATATATCATAATTATATCAATGACTCACATGTAAACAGCTCGAAAATGAAACCTTTTTGCCCCAAGGACTGACTGTCATATGCAGCCATTGCCTTGGATAAGGGAGGGACCATTAGAAAAGTTATGGGGGGGGGGGCGGGCGAAGTACAAAAAAAAAATTCATGCAAGGGAAAATTAAGTGAAAAAAAATTCATGCATGCAGAGTAGACCAGGAAAAAAATTCCTGCATTGGCCTTCCACACATTGTGCACAAATCTTAAGAAGGCAGGCAGGAAAGCATACTGTGTGCAAAACATCGGCCCTTTGAATAAACTTCCTGCTGAATTTTGGTCTTGTAAATAATCATACCTGATACAAAAAAATATATCTGAGGCTTGTAAGCTTATCATAAATTTTAATAGCTGGCAATTTCAGATATGATTATTAAATAACTTTAAATAAATTTAATTATACTTTTCTATGTATTATAAAAAATCAATATCTTATAAGGTTATCATTTCCTTTATACTTTGTGTTATATATCAAATATCTGGAACAAAACATTTCTTTTAAATACCATAGATAACAATAATCAGAGTATTCCCCACAAATCGAAGGAAACACCCAGAAACACCCAGAATATATATTATTTCTTCGTACTTCTAACAAGCAACAGATAAATAAAAATAAAAATAATAAAAAAATCTATTTTCTTAGATTTTGTTTTTACAGTTGTTGCTGGTCCTTTTAGATAAATGAAACTAACTCAAAGATACATGTTCTTTTCAGACTAGCAGCCTAAAGACTTTTAACATTTGGTCAAATTTATCTATTTTTACCACACATTTTTAGACAATTTCCATTCCGGTTCTTGATAATAACAATATCATCATCATAATTGTATTTTATAAACAAAAAAAGGTAACGTATCAATATGGTAAGAATATATCATAATTTATCAATGGTAGGGGTATATTGCAGAATGCAAAACACTGAACGCAGAATGCAGAACGCAGAACGCCGAATGATGGTCAGCAGTATATGGCATTGAAAATAGTGATTAGGGCTAAGACATGACTATAGTGTTTAGGGTTAAGCACTGACTCGAGTATGGTTAGCTTTTATTTACTGTTAGGGTTGTCATTATATACCGCTCACCATCATTTAGCATTCTACGTCCTGTGTTCTGCAAAATACCCCTGCTGATTTATCAACAAAGTAATAAAAAAATAAATATCTTCAAACTGTATCACAATCTGTCCACTCATCCTCATCTTCCTGTTGTCCTCCTTCCTTGCTATCTCTTTTTCGATTAATTCTTCCTCATCCACATTTATTGTTTCGGTACATGTTGCAACTTTCTGACGTTTTCTTCTTGCCTCCTTTAATTTATTTTTGCTTCTCTTCCTTTTACAAAGTCTCTCAGCAGTGCTGCGGCCCAACTTTTCTCTGCACTGGTCAACCATAACTTCATATGGATGAAAGAATTACTTGGCATCCTCTAACACAGATTGAAGCTTTGGCATCAACTCTGTGTGGAAGTTGTTCTGCTATTTTAAACCTAAAAAAGGGTTGAGCAAGGCAGATCACTCAATTTATTACTCAAAGGAGGGTAAAATAAATATTTAAAAACAATGTTGATACTCTTTACTTTAAAACAATGTCAGTTTTTTTGTCTGTCACCTATATTTTTAATAGCTGATTTCGCCGGCCTTCATCACAAGCATCACACACCACAAATTACAAATTGTAAGAAATTGGAATATTTTTGTGTGATACAAAAAAACCAAGAATGCTTTTAGATATGCACATGAGTATAAAGTGATCATTATACGTTAATAGATTTCAGCTGAAAGTTAGACATTTGAAATTTAAGGCAAGTTGAAGCAGTGTGTTCTATAATTGGTGGCAAAGAACTTGTTTTCGTGAAAACAGTTTGTGCAGCTCAGATCTTTTGTTCAGCAGAAAAACACAGCGGGGGGCCAAGCAACATTTCCTCAGAAGAGCATACCATTCAGCTTTTATATATATTAAGGATTTCCTCTGTAGGCAGTCACCCTCTTGATGACACACCACTTTATGTCAAATGTGGTGTCGTTTTCCCTTTAAAGGTTCCGAGAAAACACCGAGTCATGTGAGTGCTCTAAGTCCCTAAAAAGAAAGCTTGTGATTGTTGAATCTTGTTTATATATATTGCATTATACTAAAATATAATAATAATAACTTTCATAGCAAGCTCTTCTTAATATAATGATGGTTTGAAATAATAAAAATGGTTTATACTTCATTACCATCTCTGATTACTTTTCCATTTTTGGTGTTCTTCATGGTCGTCTCTATCTCCTCTCTGCAAATATCGATATTTGTGCTAGCCAGTGCGAGTGCATCTTGACAGCCTTCCACAAACTTGCAGAGTTGGTCATAGTGCTTCTTCCCTGGTAGCCTTTCGTTCTCTTTAAACGAGACAATTTCTGGGTGTCGTTTTTTCATAATCTCGATTTGGCCAAGAACACGTTGTTTCTTAAAGTGCGGGGACCAGTTGTCGAGCGTTGCACCTTTGACAATTCCAAATAACAGCGGTATACACTTCGACCTTTCCTTCCGGCACCAAAGCTCACAATCGCATGAACTTTTTGAATACTTAAAGCGTTCTGAAGCCATTTGAAGAATAAAGGAGTTTGAAATTGTTTGTCTTGGACAGACTGGTGACTCATACCAGAGGTTGCTGAATTTGGAAAAGTTACTACGCCATGATTGTTGTTGTAAGGGGTAAGGTAGGGAACAGAGTTGTTTCAAAAAGTACTGACCACCGTTACTTTCATGATGACTTCTGCAACTCCAGAATATCCAGCGAAAGCGAGGGTGTTTAACAGTCTCTGAGCCACAGCGAGACTTTTCTTCTTGTGTTGTTTTCCAGCCAGTGTACACACGTGCAAGTCGACGTGCCTCGAATTTGGTTAGTCCCAAAGGAATGGCATCTTCTTCCTTTACATCTTCGAGGTTGGCGATTTCAGTAATGCCATTTTCTGCAAACGTAGTTTGGTATTTCTCTAAAGAAGCTCTCTTCAGCCAGGACAGCAGAGTATCTTCACCATCCTCAGGATCACATATGATGTTTGACGCTTCCGCCATATTGGTGAGACCCATGCACTATCCGAGTGAGCGGAGGAGGCTTGGAACAGAGGCCGAATTCTCCCGATAATTTTCCGGATATTTTTCGACAAGTAGAGACGTCACATCCGGAACAAGGCTCCCAGGCGAAAGCGGGAAATGTTTTCAAAAATGGCGGAAAGCACTGTTCAATGTAGAGAAATCAAGAGGAAATTCAAAGAATACAATGAATGCTTTAATTACAGACACGTAGCTGTTTCTCTCTGCAATAAGACTGCAGAGCAAAGACGCAATGAACTCGAACAGGCAATCATTCAGAGTCGTGATTACACGAAGGAATCTTCGGTTGCTCTTCCTTGTCTTCTCGATGAGCTTGTAGTCAGTCATTTTATGTCCTTTCTGGATGCCTTTTATGAGTTTGCAGGAAAAGTCCCCACATTAGCGAACAAGAAAATCACGAAGGAAACTCGTCGGCAGTTCCGGGACAAAATACTATCAGAACGTGGATTACCAGTCGTTGTACTGGATACAAATGGGGGCCAGTCATTCTTAATGCTATTGGAGTGTCCCCTTGACAAAGCTCCCTTGTGTCGCAGCCTAGATGTTGTTCTTGGATGCGGATCGGAAAATGAACTTGGTGGCGCCCCCCATCTTCAACCACAATTGGCAAGCTGTATCCCGACCCTTTTCAAACTTATGTCATCTACAAAAGATAGAGCTATTTTCACATTTGTTCTTTCGAGTATTTTCTCAACAACCAGTCTGACTCTTACATTGGGGTTGCAAAACAGTCAAGTTACGAGAGTTAAGGAAAAGTTGAATGATATTTTGAATGATGTTGACAGTGCTCAAAAACTATCTGAGGAGGAGGCTCAAAGGCAAATAGAGAGTACCATTTCCAAATTAGAAATTGACTTGGTGGAAAAAGAGGGTCAGCTAAACTCAAAAAGACCCAGACTTGCTGAAGAAGAAATTGAAGTCCGGAGCTTTCAGCTAGAGACAAAACGGAAGAGATTGCACAGGCTCCAAGGCAGTTCAAAACATGTCATTAAAAAGAGGCTGTCAAATAGGCTTTTCCACAAATGGAAACAAAGTCTACTTTCCCAGAAAGGCAAAAATTAAGGTTGCTACAGGATTGATCGAAGTGCAGAGTTAGTATTATATGAAGTACTACAGGAGCAGTTAAAGGCACACAGAAGAAGGTGGGGGGAGGAGAATACGGGTTACCTTGAGCATGAGAATCGAATCCAGTCAAAGGAAATGCTTCGGAGGGCAAATGACCATCTGCGCAAACAAGGCAAGAAACCCATCCAGTCTAAGGAAACTGTACGGTCTTGGGGAAAGTGTAAGAACAAACGTTACCGACAAGCAGAGCAACATCGTGGCAGAAGTCTTTGGGCACACCTGCGTCCGCAGAAAAAATATCACGAAAGACACATAAATATTCACTATAACCGTGCACACATTAAGAATTATGTACGGTTTGCATTTGGAAAAAACAGTAATGTGCAAGGCAAGAATCTTGTCATCAGGAGGGCTATTGATGACAAAGCCTACATCAGATGTGGCACATCTGAGGGTTTTTCCAGGCCACTCCACAATCCTGTACATCTCAACGATGGTCCTGATTGTCAGTTTCAGCTTCCATCTTCGGACTATCCGGCTTCTGCTGGCTATGTCTCTCCGGGAGTAATACTGATGGTGAATGATATGAAAGAAGTTGAACTGAAGGGGCGAGACAAATTTGTCGCAACAGATGTGACAGTTTCTGTCACTTGTAAACCGAAACACATATACCCCAGTTCTGCTACGAACTGGGCCAATGATTTAGTTGCCTGCAGGTACCGTTTTTGCAATGAGCATGAAGTGCCAAGCACATCAGAGTCCAAGAACAACATCAGTAATTAGATACCCTATCTGGTAGCCATAAGAGATTCATTGTTCCAATTTGAACTAATGACAATCAAAGAAGATTATGAAAAAGTGGTAGAAGGAGGAGACCATCTGTCAAGAGAATTACTTAGAGTAGAAGTCCTTCTCAAGAGAGTAAATGTGTGCCTAATGGAGACAGCTGAGGACCTAAAGCAAGAGTCAGTGATAGGAAAAATGTTTGCAGATCTTTCTCTTTTGGCAGATCAGCTAAAAGATATAGGTACAGGCCTTTAAAAGCTTTTGTATTTTTGATATTCTGTCAAGGCTGTCAATAATATAGGGCTGGATGGCTGGGATTCCCCCCGGCTACTTAGATCATGAGCCCAGCTACTTTCATATGAGAAACCAAAAGGAGAATAGAACCGAAAAACCTTCCTAGTAGTTCAATTCCCACCTACCAGTTGCATAAACCCAGCAAGTTAAACTGTTCCTAGTGACAGCCATGTTCTGTGCTTTATTTTACCTGTTTTAGCGATTCAGTAGTACTCAGTAGTACTCTTCCAGTAATTCTCTTAAACCCCAGAAAAAAATATCAACTGAAATTCAGAAAAGCAATTGCATATTCACTGCTAGCATACTCAACTTTCCACAGTGAAAGAGTGCTTTGATTTTTCCCCTTGGAATGCCATTGAATGAATTAAAAATGAGACTCAAAGGATTTCATTACCATAATATTAAAGCTTGCTTAAATTTAGCCTAATGTTGTTGACAATATTATTTTTTTCTTGATTTAAGATAACAAACTTAAATCCCAGACATGGAAAGATTTACATTCCAGTTACCTAAAGGCAAAATCAATGTGCCAAGAAATTCGCAGGGAAATTGTATGCATTGGCATCCCTCAACACAGGTAAAATAGAAATGATGAACATGATGTGATAGAATTAAGCAATAGAAAATCAAGTGTAAGCTTCTTAAATGCCTCTACGTGTAAGTGCTTTAGTGGGTGTAAACAAACCCAGCTTGTAAGAGAAAGAAAGGGTGATTGGATTGGAGATTTTGCAGGGTTAAATCAAGATTTTGCTGTTTACAGTCAACACATGGGAATGACTTCTCAGCCAGATTAAACCGTATGTTTAATATATATATCTATATATGTTATTATTTTCTGACCTTCTGGTGTTTAATTTCCCATTACATTTTAGGCCTCTCGACATTCAATCATCTGATGCCGGCCCTGGAGTTTCGACTCATGAGCAAATGAGCCAGCTACGTATGGCAGAATATTTTATGATAAACAATCTAGATCTTCAATGTAGATTGCATTATGCACCTTATGACTCATCAACTCATATTGTCGAGAGGGTAATGAGATCACTGAATGAGTGTCTTGGTGATGGAAGAGCAATCCCAGTTCCTTCCACATCACTTGTTGACAGTGAAGGAAAATTTAAGATGACCGCCTTGACCAATGAAGAGATTCAGAGAATACACAAAGAGGATCAGGTCAGAATTTCAAAGGACTGTGCAGAACAGGTCAAGAAGAGATTTAATGGGAAATCATGCATGGGAACATCTATCCATGCCAACACCCCTTGGTATCAAGAGTATCAGTGTTTCTTCTTTGATGAATGGTACATGACAAAATGTGCAAGTGCTAGCTCCAAGTCAGTTCTTGAGCAATGTGCAGGAAAGGAATACTACAAGTTTGTTAAGAATTTCTTTGAAGATCATTACATGTTGTATGACAATGGTTTTGAAGGGATCAGAAGTGGCTGCCAGGAGAAACAGGGTGTCTTGTGTGACTTTCACAAGTACACTGAAAAGAAGGATGTCTTGGCTTGTGTGTGGAGTGGAATCCCTGTAACTAGAGTCCAACCACCAGTCCCAGACTGCTCATTTACTGATGTGTTCCACTATGCCCTTCCAAATGACATTTCCTGTGGAAATATTACAGAAAAATTTGGTCTTAAGAAGGAGCATGTCATGGATATCTCACAGAGGGCTGTTGATGATTTTTCACCAAGGAAGCAACTTGAGAGGCTGATTAATAGTTGTGGTGACCCTGATTTTATAGTTCATGATGATGTCAGCAATGATTGTTCTACTGATTCAGTTCATGCTATCATTGATAAAAATGAAACACTGAGTAAGATGCTAGCAGAAGTTGACAATTTTGTACCTAAGTATGCAGGAGAAGACCTAAGAGAGACTGTTGTTGCTGAAATAAAGAGGCGCTCTAATGCAAAAGTGAAAGAAAATGAACGCAGGTGCCAGAGAGTCTGAAAAGGCCAAAACATATGATGAAATTGACTGGAACAGGCTTATTGTGGAAAATGAGCTGAACAATCTGTATGTATCCCAACTTGACTTGTATTTGATGAGAAATCTACAACTATCAAAGCGAGACTGTGAGAAAAAAGGCTTTACAAAGAAACAGAAAATCGAAGAGGTAAAGAAGCATTTCTATAAATCAGCATGTAGTGGTAGTCCAATTGATGATGATATAAATGCGACCAAGACACAACAAAGAGTGCATGTGGCATTGTCAGTGGATACTTTCAGCAATGGCACACCCACAACACTTGATGTTCCTCCTTGGGGAGGCACCATTATGGTCCCCCACGTGGGCCATATCACTCTTGTGAACACATGTCCCATTGATAACTTTCTGACAATATTTTATGTCCTTATGAAAATGCATAGTGCATTTTATCAACATCTTGTGAGATCGCCTGAGCCATATGCTTGTAGTTTACTCAAAATTTGTCATATGTTTGATGCAGGAAGTTTTGCTGAGGGAAAGTGTGAATGGCTGAAACTCTTTCCCGGAAGATTTGATCTCTCACAGCCAGGGCAACTCAACCTGTGGGGGAATGAGGAAGACCTGTTTGTGTCAAGGATGTTTGCAGAATTGGAGTCACTGTACACAAGTACATGTGTGTCTCAGCATTGTCCATCTAAAGTTAAGAGGATTTCGTCCAAGACTATATCATTGAGGTATGAACAGTATTGTGAACAATGGTAATGTTTTAAGCTATACTGTTTGTCAGTGACATCAATTATTCTATTAGGATCAATAATGATAAAACTGGAACACAAACATAAAATATATACGTATTAGTTTTAGATAAGGATGGGAAGTATAAAATTATTATATTATACAGTATGCTTTTATAATCTAAATAATGAACTCTTTATCCTATTTTTAAATTCTTATTAGCAATCCAGGCTTTCCTCCCCCAAGATTTCTTCAAGAGTCCCTAAACCAGTGGCTGAACACAGACCTTCATTCTGCTAGGTGTGGTGAAAGGATGGCAACTGTTCCCTCAGGAGCACTGCATTTTCTTGGCAATTGTATTGTGCAAGATCCTGTTACCGGCCAGCTTTTGTAAGTACACATAATATTATTTTTGTATCTCGTCTCTCTCTTTTCCTGGGGTTTCTAGACATTTTAAAGTTTATTTAATAATATGACTTTGCAGGGATACACATGCAGATCATGTATTTTCCAAGTTATTTACATCTTTGGGAAAAACATTTAAGACTATCTAAGATGTATTATTTACCACAATGAGAGTCAGAGAAATTTTTCCAAGCATGTTTTTTTAATAAGCTTTTCTTTATTTGGTCTTTTAAAGACAATCTGTTCAAGCCTATTGTGCAGGAATGCGCTCAAGCACAAAGAGGGCCTTCTCTAAATATTGTAATCCTCCATTCCTGTTGATTTCACTTGATGTCTTTGCCCGCCAAGCCATTATAACTGATGCAAGTCAGCTACCCCAATTTGTTCAAATCTTAAGTAGAAGGTGAGTCTTAAAAGTCAGAAAAACTATAATTGTTATGGAAATTTTTCTATTTTATACTGTTCAACTCATATTCCTTGTTTCTATAAAAGGTACCGTTTATTTGGTCTCACATTTTGGAGTGGGGGGCACTATAGAGGAGCTGTAACCATCAATGGCACCTGGAATTATTATGATGGACTATGGGAGAGGCACAATAAAGGCCAGGGACTCAAAAAATGTTCAGCAAACGTCCCATCTACTCCCACTGGCTTTCTCCTGTCCCACTGTGTCTATATTGCGTCAGATCTTTTATAGTGTTTGGACATAAATTATTTTATGTATCCTTTAAGAACGCCACAGTCAACTCTTTCTAAGACGGACACCTTTGGGGCCGGTACTAAGTGTCCATCTTAGAGAGATGTCCGTCTTATAAATAGTCAAATAAAAGGAGTAAAGAAAGGCAGGGACCAACTGTAGGTGTCCGTCTTATAGAGGTGTCCGTTAAGAGAGAGTCAACTGTACACTCTTAGAATGCCTTATTAGATCCGCAACTAACATTTGATGACCATGTTTTAAAAACTACGTCATCTTGTATGTCAAGCCTCGCACAAATCAGTCGGGTTAAACATGTTCTTGACCGTAACCAACTGGTGACAGTAATAAATGCCCTAGTCTTTAGCAAATTACTGTACTGTTCCACAAGGTGGTCCAACACCTCGAACAAAAATATCTGTAGACTACAGTCAGTGCAGAACTTTGCCGCGCGCATTATTACAGGTACCAGGAAATTTGATCATATAACCCCCGCACTAAGAGATCTACGTTGGTTTCCAATTAAACAAAGACTGTTCTTCCGCGACACTCTCATGGCATTTAAATGCATGACTGGTCAAGCTCCACATTACCTCAGTGATCAATTTACAACAAGAATTGCGGTCACCGGGCGCGTGACTCGAAGTTGCCAATTATTAAACATCCCCTTGTATAAGTCGAGCACCGGACAGAGAACATTCCACTACCGTATGGTGCACATTTGGAACAATCTAGACAGTACTCTTAAAACTGCAAAATCGATTTCTCCTTTTAAATTTTATTTGAAAAAAAAAAGATTACTGTCTTTTTAAATAGCACGTTACGGTAGTATTTTAGTATCTTACTAGTATCTTATTTTATTATAATTTTAACTTAAAAATATGCATATTGTATAGTACGTAGTGAGAATATTTATTATTCGATTAACTCTTAAACAGGTATGTTTATATTGCTTTTGTTCACCGCACTCTTTCCTTTTTAATTGAATTGTTAACTACTTCTCTTATCTTAATTAGTAGTCGCATTGTCACTGAAAAGCCCCACCAGGGGAGTGTCAATAAACTATTGTATTGTATGGTATTGGTAAAACTACAAAGAAGGGGATCCCCGGGGAAGTCATAGCCCATCATTCTACCTTAGGGGTAACTACTCAGGATCAATTTCTTTATCCCCTGTCACTTCGCATCGAATCTGGACTTTTATTGGTAAAATGGATGCTAGCAAGTCTTCTTGCCCATACAGTGTACCTGATACCATATTGAAAACTATTAGACTCTATACATCTTAGCCTCGTCCATTTTTAGTCAATGATTTCTTTGCTAGTGGTAATTTTCCTGAGAAATTAAAATTGGCAAGGATTACTCCTGTCTTTAAAAAAGGGTCAAGATTTGACAAATACAATTCTAGACCAATTACTGTACTTTCCAACTTCAGTAAATTGTTTGAGAAAGCTACCTATCATCACCTCTACAGTTATTTGGAAGAATTAAATATACTTTATCCACTTCAGTTTGGTTTCAGAGAAAAATGTTCGACAACCCATGATCTTATTTGTATCACTGAATCTATTTGTGACCTTCTACAGGAAAACATACACTAATGGTTTTCCGTTTAACGGGTAAAAACTAACGGCTAACGAACGGCTTGTTACCGGCTTTTCTAACACCTTTAACGGGTTGGCTCACGGTTTGAACGGGTAGGCGAAAAAATCTAACGACCTACAAAAGCGTTTGAACAGATTTGCTTTGATTTTCGTAACGACTTTTTTGAACGTTTCTAACGGACGGACTAACGGCTTCAAGAAACAATCATCTAACGGTCTAAGAGAACGTTTGATAAAAATCAAACTTTTCGGGTGAAAACAGCTCAAAGAAAAGAGTTTTAACGACTATAAAACATTATGCATTATAACCTGAAGATTCGTACGCGCAACTGCAATTTATTCGACATGATAGTTATCTTTCTGAAAATGTGTAAACTGAGATCGTGTGAAGGAATGATTTACTGGCGCCTCCAGGTAAATAATCAGAAACCTATTCGTTTACATGTTGCTATTAATAGTTTGTTACATACGCATGTATATGTTCTTGTGTGTTTAAGTGTTCAAATGTAGCCTGAACAACAAACACATGAAAGTGGGAGAAAACGTATGTGTTGCAGGTATTAACCGAGTACAGATTGGGCGATAATCTAACGAATGTGGAGCGATAACTTAACGATTATAATTTCAAAGGACATAAAACAGAATAATCAAAAGAACTTCACTCATTAAACGTCCTAGAATGCAAATCTAACAACTTTGCCTTTTGAACGTCCTGGAACGAAATTTCGAACGACTTTTTCTAATCTTACTGTTTCAGGTACATGTAAGGAACCACATTAGATCATTCCCATGGATGACGAGTCATTATTCTAGGAAAGATGCTCCGCAGAAGCGGTTCCTCAACCCCAACCTCAACACCATGAAAATGTATAAGCTAATTTACCTTGAGGCCGAGGACCCAGAAGTCCTGTAAAGAGAGAGAGAGAGATAATAAGAGCAAGGCAGGAAAGACGTCCTATCCCCGAAAAACTGAAGCTGGCAGTGGGAGAGCACACCTATCGTAAGGTATTTCAATCAGAATTCAATTTAAGGTTTGGACTTCCATGCTCGGACACCTGTGCCACCTTAGACTTAACCTCGCACTTAAGTTTGATCCAGGTGACACAGTTGCCCATCAGCAGTTGGCGGACCACCAAGATAAGGCGGACAAAGGGTATCAAAATATGCGGGGAGACAAAAATGTGGCCGTTTATAGCTGGAATGGCTATACCCGTTCTTTAGGCACAGCTACCTACTGTTCCAAAGACGCCGTGGATATGGTATCTTTGGACTTCATGCAAAACCTTCCAACGCCCAATCTAACTCACAATGATGTGTTAAAATACAAACGCCAGCTCTGGATGTACGTCTTTGGAATACATGACATGGTGGTAGACCGTGGGTATATGAACTTGTGGGACAAGACAGTAGCAAAGCGCAGATCATTGGAGGTGGCCTCCTCCCTTAGGCACTTCTTTGAAATCTATCGGACAGGGGCAAAATCAGTGGTGTCTTAGCCAGACGGTTGTGGAGGGCAGAACAAAAATTTGACGGTC